GATTTGAACAAATATGCACAAAAACATCAAAATTAGCACAGAAACTGTACTGTATAACATTTTAGACACATTCTAGGCAGTTTATAAGCTAAAAAAAGTTAATTTTGGGATAAGTTACTATTTAAACTTTATCCCAAGGCTGCAGGTAACAAAACAAAGTATTAACTGTGTGTGTTTTCTCAGCTGGAAAGAACCCCTAGGGTTAAAGTAGTTCTTCTCAAGGCTGCATGGCATTTAACTCGAGCACTGCATTATTTTAAGGGTTATTAATTAATGGTAGYAGATGGTAAAATTCAAAACACAACAACACTGGAAAATAAAAACTAATGACACACGGTTGACATGGGAGCACCACAAACATTTTGTTGACCGCAATTAATGAGGGTGTGCTTTTTGGAACACACTATTGTTGTCAGGTTGTACCATTTGAGTAATTTGGTCACTGGCATGTTTGCTTTTGTTTTGTTTGTTTGRGCAATTATGAAAGATCAGTTTGAAATACGTATTATTTAAACTCTGGTTTCAACAATAATCTGTAGTTGAGATGTTTCAGTACTAACAGGCCCATTGATATTTGTGGTTTCTGTAAATATCTGTACCAAGATATCAACAAAGTGGCATTTATTTACCTCACTTGTTAATTTTTTTTCGCTCTTTGATTACCAGCCATCCTCTCGTATGCCRCCTCTGCATCAGCAGCAGTTGCAGTCCCATCAGCACCACCCTTCACGTCCAAGAGGACCTCCTTCCTTCCAGGAGCGTGGTCGTCCCATTCCACAGCAGCCCCTTCAACCCCTCATCTCTCCTCACATGGCTCATCGCTCCCCACCACTGCGACCCCAGATGGAACAACCATCACGAATGATGAACTCCCCGCCACCCAGCTTCCCTCAGCATCACCAACAGCAGCCCCCACAGCCCAAAAACATCCATATTAACCCCCACTTTAGAGGACCCTCACAGTCTCCTGTACAAGGTCAGCTAGGTAATATTAGAAATGTGCCTTAAATTAACTTTTTTCTCCCAGCTTCTTTTAAAATGWTTTTTCTTAGTTTTGATTTACTGGAGTCTTGCTTTCTGAATTTTTCACGAACAGTCAAAAATCTTTGCTATTCAAAAAACTAGAAACATCAAAATCAAGTTTATTGATTTATATAATGCCAAATGCTATAAAACAGCAAATACTTTATTCACGTTTTAGTAAATTATTCTTATGTATTTAGTATTGCCCTGAGCACCCTGGTCTGTACATACAAGCGTAAATTTATGAGCAGCAATTGTGTGCTGAGATTTAACATTCATGCCTGRCTAAGAGCCTTCAGCACAGATATTTCTTCCTCTGTACAATCACACCGTCTCTCTGCCTACTGCCTCTCATTTTCATTTTTTCTCCCCTCCCCCTCCTCCTTTTGTTTTCTGTTTTGCCCCTCTTTCTTATTGCAGTGCCCTTGATGCCTCCTGCTCAGAGCCAGTCCAGACCTGCTGTGGGTCCTCAGAGGTTTCCTGTGAGTAGCAGCTGCTCCTCCACCTTCCTTTCGCTCCACTTTCTCTCACTCGCCACATGGTCAGCGTCCCTTTATGTGAGGGCAATAACATTACTTCAATTAGACCGTCTGCACTGGCCAAATACTGTTAAAGCAAATCCGTAAACACTGATATGAGTCTGACTGCACAACTGGAAATGYATGATAGGAGCTTCAGGCAAAAGACTTTTTGCGCCTGGGCCCGCAGTTACAGGACTTACTTAAAAGCTCTTCATGGATGGGCTGGAGCTCAGACTATCCAGCATTGCACGTAATGGAATTGTGAATACAGGATATAGTGCCTGTTAAAATTCGCTTTCAATGAGTTTATGTCCCAAAGGCACAAAAATGTTTTCTTAATGGTATCTGAATTAGTGAAGCGTGGTGGTGGATTGATGAGGTTGGAGGTGAGCCCATTTCTTCTTTTAAATCTCTTTAAGTTTGAATATCACATCAGACAAAGAAAACAGAAGTAATTATCTGTACCCTTAAAGGTCCTTTTTTCCCACACATGAAGAATCCATCCAAAAGATTAACTGGCTCTCTGTAAAGTCAACAACAATGCTTTAAGTAGAGCCGTCTTTTTAGATAATTGAGCCCAGGCATCAGGTGGTGCTGCTACTGACTGACATCTTTCTGGGAAGTCAATTTTAGATGGATTTATGCAAATTGGCTATCACAAAATAGCTACATCCAATTGCATTCCATGTGGATGCACAAATGAGCCCGGCACTTTCTCAGGAGACCATCTTAATCAAAAGCTGGATCTTTATTTACCTTTTTTTAACCTTCAATGTCAGTATCATGCTATTCTTATTCCTTGAAATCTACAGTCATGTTCAATATTAACAGCAGAGTAGTAAGAAATGATTTTAGCTTATATCAGAGTAGAAAATGTAATGGGAAGGGTACGCAGACAACTGGGCTGATGGATGGCATAGTGTTGGGTTCAGCTGTCGATCACATTTAGACTGGTGTTGCCAAGGACACGATTTGAAATGCAGGTGACATACCAGCCAACAACTTCCCATTTATCAGCGGGCACCCGATTACTCATGATTATCATACATTATCATCCCATCAAATTTAATTGTTTAAAGGCCAGGCTAATGGGGGGTCATAGCCTCCAGTAATACTGCATCACATTTTTGCTGGTGGAGATGGTTTTAAAATATTAATCTTAACACCAATTAAAGTCATTATTAGGAATTTTTATTCTATGCACACATTTTTTAGTACAATTGAAGCTTGTGTTTTTATTGTTTGTAGACCTTTTTCAATATTATCAGTGATTCATAAAAGCAAATTGGCAAATACTAAAACGCACATTTTAAAAGTCCAAGTATATGGTGAAAGTTGTCTAGTAGATGGAAGTTTCAAATAATTTTATTTAGCATTTACGATTTCTTTCATTGACTGTCTAATTTTTAATGTATTTAAGACAATAAGTTGATAGACTTTTAAAAAATATATGAACTTAGAGCAGCACTGCATTGTTGTCATGTTGGTCAACTATGATAAATACAGAATCATGTTCGCAACCAAAATGGTTCCTGTACTAATCTGGGGATGCTAGAGTCAATTCCCAACGGGTGGCACCTTTTAAATAAAATGTTATATTAATAAGAAACTAGTTCATTTTTCCAAAGCCTAAAAGCCACTATGGAGCTACTTCAAATCGTTTGTTAGAATGTCTTCTCTGTTTTATAGCTCTGTGCACTGAATCTATCTGCATTCACTCCCCAACTGGTGATAATAAAACAAGTGGCAGGAATTTAACACACATTGAGCTCATGTTATTCCAGAACTACTTTCTGTGTTTTTATTGTTTAGAATGAAAGCACTTTTATTTGTTCAGCTCTGGCCCAAACAAAATGTTGTGATACTGTAACTATTGTTTTTCAGTGCGTTTTGTCAGCTTTAATATTCAAACCAGTACGTGAATGAGCACAATCAATTTCACTAGTTAAAATATCAACACAGTACCCAGAAACAAAGCATCTTTTTAAATCATGTTTCCGTAATTTATTAAGTGCTTTAACATTTGGCCCTTCTTTATTACACGTATTTATCTTGGATATGTCCTCTCAGCTTCAAGCGGTACCAGCATCGGTTAAATATTGAGCATTCCAGACACTGTTTTATCAGGGATTAGAAGTGAGAGGATGAGCGGTGGTATTTGAGAGGTATTATACGGACACCAGAGTCCTTATTGTGCAAACCTGGCTGCCTGACCTTTTAGAAAGGCATGATTGTGCCCCCATTGTGATCCCCTGTCTTTGTAAGCCCTTTTGATTAACTTTATGTTAAGCAAGTTTTTTGGAACTCTGGCCTTGCTTTCTAACACCTCTTCTCTCTAAATACCTCCACGCTGCAGTGGAATAAAGATGGATTAGGCCTTGATAGCATCTTAAGTAATTTACAATAGGCTTGGAGGAGGCAAGCAGCCCATTTGTGGAAGTGCCACGTGTTGAATAGCAGGTTAATTTTTCAACAGAGATGGATGTTTAGAAAGAATAAAGAAGACAGTTATGAGGAGGGATTCAAATTCCAATGAGGGATTAAATAGTTATCTAGTTTTCTTAGGTAAATTGATTGGGACTAGAGCATATGCAACGAGTAGAAAGCGGTTGAAGATATAAAGTAGTTGAAACAAAGATGAGGACACCTATACCCTCCTGACCTACTCTTTCCTTGTTAGAGGCTGGCTTTAGGTTTTTTTTTTTTTTATCAATAGTGCCTCAAGTAGCATTAATACAGTTTTGTTCAAGAATTCATGCTGAAGGCTTCCTTTGATATTGGCATACATATTGATGTGAACAAGTCAAGATTCCACATTTGTTTAATGACCCGCATGCTCTATTTACAGTCACTCCCTGTCTAATGTAATACCTCCCTTTTTTCGGGTTAATTAGTTTTTTTTTTTATATATTGTGTTTTTGCTTTGTCTTTATTCAGGTAATGGGAGACTTCCAGCATTTTGGTCAGCCTCAGCGGCCCCCTCATCACATGGAGCCYTTGAGGAACCAGCCACCTCAAGGCCCCCAGGACAGAGAGCCCCTGTTTATGGGAGGTGAGTCTCACACCCAACCTTGATGAGTGTTACAAAGCCCTCTTAGCATATTTAACCCTATTTATCACCTCTGGTGCAATATCTAGAGGGTATGCTGCCAGCTCTGTGGTGCTGCTGWATTAGCAGAACTCATGTTAAATGCATGTGTGTTTCAATTTAGACACACATACATATAGACACACAAACATCTGAATAAACCTTGGAAATGGCAATAAACATGAATATTTATATATTTTTATTGACATTAATGCTGAATTGATCTGTCTACCTAGTTGTTACACCACCTTTTTWATGAAGTTGTGTGTTTATTAGTTGTTTTTGTTTTTTATCATAATGCTACACATCTGGAGAGGGGATTGTTGGWGCTGAAACAGACTCTTAAGTGAAAATAAATAAAGAAAGAAAACTAAAACATCTCACTTGTGTTTTTTATGGTCTTCCTTGTCTGGTCACAGAGTGTGCAGATTCAAYACGATTTCCAGCGCAGCACATGTTTGATCACCAGGGCCCGGGCCCTTTGATGAACAGCAACAACAATCTCCACCAGCAGCAGCACCTGCCCGGCCAGGGCCACATGGGCTTCGGTCCACCAGGACCGCCCTTTAACCAGCCTGGCCAAGGCCCACTAGGACTGTTTCAGAGAGAACCCCCAAGACCAAACCTCCCTCCCCACCAAGGTCACCAGGGGATGATGAACTTGAATCAGCAAAGTGGCCCCCCCAACCAACCCAGGCCTTTTATGAGCCCTCGTCAACCCTTTGGCCAGCAGGGGAACCCTTTCCCCCCTCCACAAGTCCAGTTTGGGATGCAGGTACGACTCAGAGTAAGTGATTTTAATGACTAACAGTGTCTGTGTGTTTGTGTCTTCATTTCTCTGCTTCTGTTCCAATTGTCTCTTGGGTTGTTTGTTAAAAATGAGTGTTTGATCTGACTGGTTGTCTTATTTATGGTTGTTGAAGATTTGTTTAAAAAAAACACATTTGGCACAGTTGGATTTTGCTGAGGCATAGACAAGAGCTCCCTCTAGTGATTGAATCACTATGATATTACTAAACAAGAATGCTGATTAGGAGGTTAATTTCCCATAAATTGCCCAATCTAATGCTGTGATAAAGATACATGMGAAACATTATTTCTTGTGTTTTAGGTATTAACAAAAATTGACATTTACTTTTAGCCTCTCTTCCTTTATAATTGCAGGGTTTAATGCACGGACCCCCTGTCTCTCAGCTGCCACATCACGACCCAATCTTGCCCCATCCCATGCACCACCAGCAGCAGCAGCAGCAGCAGCACCACCACAGGCAAGAGTTCCCACATCAACAACAGATAAACCTCAGTGAACCTCGCCCCATGACACACCATGGTCAGAATCCTTTCCACCAACAACACGGTAGCCCGAGGCAGATGACTCCCCGCCCTCAGAACCYTCAACAGCGCAACATGGCAAACCGGCAGAGGATGGTAAGAGATTAACATATTAGCTCAGTGATTTTCAGGTCAAATTGTTGATATCTGAGTGTTTTTTATGACAATGTTGTCATTGTATTTTCTAAATATACACAACTTGATTTGAAGGAGCATCACAACTTATTGTAGGTAAAAATGTGTTGGAATTACTAAAGGACTGGGTTGGGTATTTATTTTGTTTACAGAACRCACCTATTTCTAAACAAATGCAGCAGCGCAGCAGCAACCTGCGGGAGCTCCCCGTAGCACCTGGTAACACAAACATGAACAGGCCCCGCCCTGCCCCAACCCCCGCCTCCCCCGCTGCCAACATCAAGCCTGTTGCCAGGGCAACTCCGAGGACGCGTATGGGGCAGAACACACAGCCGATGTCTGGCGGCGGCAGAGGAAGAGGCCAAGTTGCAAAGCCCGAATCACAGCCTGGGGGGCCAGGCTGGATAATGGTTAATAAGGAAACCCTGAGCACACCGTCCAGCACTACACCACAGGTTAGCATTTGAAGATGAGTTTTTGTTCTCCCAGGTACTAAAAAAAAAAAACCAACCTAAAATTAAACACAGTTTAGACTATTTACAAATAATAAATAGATTTATTTTGAAAAGTCTTTTTCTAATAAACCAGATGTTTGAAATTCTTGATTTCTTTCTACCTCCCAATTTCTCTTTGATTAAATTTAGGTTCAGTTTAGGCAACAGCTCACAGCTTTAAAACAACCGTGAGAAGATAAATGTTAAGAATAATGAATTTTTTTTTTGCACGTGTTTTTTTCCACAGAACCCCGATGAAGAYGAGGAGACGCGGCAGTATCGTCTGAAGATTGAGGAGCAGAAGCGTCTGAGAGAGGAGATTCTGAAGAGGAAAGAAATGCGACGGCAAATGCAGGCTGGCGTTAGAAAGAAGGAGCTGCTGGATAGACTTAATTCTCAAACAAATGCACCAAACCAAGGCCCTACTCCTACGCAGACTCAGCCCGTAGCACCAAATCAGCAGCCGCGGCCATTACAGCAGCAGCCACTATTACAGCAGCCAGAACCGAACCGACCTCCACTACTGGCACAGCAACCCCAACTGGTTCCTCAAACGATGCAGCATTCTCTAAACCACACAATAAATCCTAATCAAGACAACACCCTGCCTCTTAGTGGTGCCGCTCAGACCCCAAYGCCACGTCTGAACGTCAAGGCGCGCCTCCACATGGTAAAGCCGGAGCAGCAGATCCCCGATGCTGGCACCAGACAGCAGTGGAATCAGCCCCAGCAGAATCGGCAGCTGCAGCAACAAACACACAGTTCTGTGCAGAACGTAAACAGACCCAACACTTCGATTCAGTCTCTTCAAGTTCCTCAGACGAACATGCCAGCGGGACAAGACCCCGCTCTGATTCAGGGACCCAAACCTGGGGCTAAAAGGACTGTGATGCAAAGAGTCAGGAGTTCCAGTCTGGAAAGCCAGCAGGTGCCACAAAAAGTCAGAGTTGTCAAACTTTCAGGACAGGTGAGCGTATAGTTTCAGTTTTATGACACCTTCTTCTTTGGCATTTATTTGATCCTTTACAGGAGATTTTACCCACAGGGGAAACTACCTGAGCTTGAACAGAAAATGCCATTGATTGCCCTGACTGTCTATTTTGTAATCTGGCTGATATCTAACCTATGTGGATGACACGGTGATGTCTGTGTCATTTTGGCAAAATTGATCTGTTAAGAGTTTCTTCTTTTAAGCTTTGTGAACTGGTATTTAAGTAAGAATGTCTTTACATACTTTTATAACACAGAAAGGCTGGAGGCATTAAAGAGAGCAGTTTGACATTTATCTGTAGAGTTGGGGACACTTCGTCACTACTTTTAAAGGTTGAGATCCTCTTTTCAGGACAGATAAGCATTCTCTTAAAGACAGGAGGTAAAATAAGATTGACAATAACTCTTAACAATGTCCAGAAAATATCACTGCTGGCTATTTCATTYTCTACTGATAAGTTGCAGCTTTGTCCTTAATTGCGCATTAATCTTTATTGAAAACCCACAAAGGCGTGCATGTTAAACATTAATACTTGTCACTGAAGAGACACGGTGGTGGGATGTGATAATATTTGAAATAAGCTGCTTTCCATCCCAGAGGATCAAGCCGCTGCGCCAAAATTGGCGACTGGCTGCTGATGAAGATCACTGGGTGTCAGTGTGTTAATGGAAACCTGTGTAGAGCTATCTGATTCACTGCATTGTGAAGGAAAGAAAAGTGGAGTGGGATGTGAAGCAGAGGGAAAAAAGGATGGAAAGAGCTGGGGCTAATAATTGGAGTGAAAAGAAGATTCTCTCTTCCACATTGTTCTGCTGTCATCAACAAGAGTTTGACAATGTTATCTCTTCCTTTTCCCGTCTTCCTCTGTCATCCCTCAGTTGCTTCGTGTATCAACCCATCTTTCAGGTGCGAGGCAACAAAAGATGCCAATCCAAGACCCTTGTAATTAATCTTTCATAATACCTGTGTAAGAAAGTTGGCACTTTTGAGGATTTGGATTTGTATAGCTTAGGCACACAGATAAGAAGCAAATTATATTTTCATCAGGGGCAATACAAAGCAGTGCGAAACACAAAAGCTCAGGAAAGGGTGTGTGTTTGTGCGGKGGGGTACACATCGAGCTGCTGTCGTTTCAGTGTAATGCAGCTTAGCATTTGATGGGTGCAATCAGGAGCTGTGATTTCTATAGAAGGGATTAATCTATTTACTCTCAGCTGGGGACAGGTCAGAGATAGCGCCTCTTTTCTTCCCACGTATTGATCTGTCACATCTTTCTGCAGAGTCGGAGAAAAGACGACCTTCAATTCCTCCCTGCACGTCAACACGGCAGAGCTGTGACTTTATTTGATAATGAGACCATCACCTTGTTTGCTTGATCTCTATTCTCYACTGACTGCTGATAGAAATCCACATTCAGTATTTGCAGATTCTCAGTTTCTTTTGTGGAAATAGCTTCACGTCACTGATGAAAACTTCACTTAAATGTGGCCTGTTGGCACAAGCGTGTGATGTGTGCCGTTTGGGAGACATGCTGAGATTTTGAAGCACTAATTTAGTGTTTTCCATCATTATTTCTGTTCAGAGTGGAAAGGGGCCTGAGGCAAGCGTCGACCCAACACAGCAGCAGAGTTCCTGGCAGGCACCTCCGCACAACCAGATCGTCCAAAGGAAGGTGACCATGATGGGACAGCAGCAACAGGGTCCAGGCGAAACACCGCAGGCTTGCCGCGGGGGCAGGGGCAGCGCACAGCAAAGCAGGGTATGTCACAACTGAGCCAACACCAACACTCGTTTCACCTAAAATGTATTTATTAACAGCGTGAGGTTCATGGCACCTTAAGTGAAACACAAGCCAGAATGTCTCCTGTAATGCTGCATTACATTTTTATTCAGTAGAAGTACCAATCAGGCTGCAGTTGCAGTCTAACAGGACAGTATGCAGGTGCTGGGGCATTGACAAGTTGAAAATAACACAATGATGGCTACACGAGATCCCCTGGCCTCTCTSCACACATGTCACCAGCAGGTTCTTGTCACAGATTCCATACTCGCTGATGCTGACAGTGTAAGGCAGCCACCACTAGGCTTGCATGGCTGCTCTTCCTTTATGCTTCCCCACCCCCCCACACACACATACACAAACACACACACACACATTTCCACTACACCCTCTTTGCTCTTTTTAGGGTCTTTCCCTCCTCCTCCTCTGCAACTGGGAAAACGCACCCCTCTCTCACAAGATCATATGAAGAATGTCATGCAGCATGCATCACCTTCTGACATTGATGTTTTGTGTAGAAAGGTGATGAGTCAATCATGTTAAAGTCTGAGAGGCACAGGAGAAGAAGCGTTTTTAAATGTACCTCTATGTTTAAAAACCTTTTGACACGATTAAAGACATCCATGTTTTTGTTAAAGAAATAAAAAATTTCCCTCTGTGTTTTCTCAGTTTTTATTGTTAATATTCCTTATATATATTTTTTCTTTTTTTTTTTCTTTCTTTTTTTTTTCTCCTTTGGGATCGCACGGACTAGGTTGTCGTGTCTGGTCGAGGAGTTGGTCAGATGGGTCGAGGTCATCCAGTGCCCACCAGACAGAACCAGAGAGATGCAGAGGTCTCTGGTGCTACTGTGTCCATAGAGGGCCTCTCCACATCTACGACAGAGTTGCAGCTGAAGAACCTCCTCAGGTCCATTGGTCCCATAGAGGTGGGTGGCAAATATGTAGCTAGATAGTGATTTATTTTCTCTGTGGTCCTGATCTGTAGAAATTAGAGCAGCTGATGTCCACGATGAAATGCTTTTTCATCAGGCAAAAATATAGCAGTTTAATAAAAACATATTGCTGACTAAAATTCCTTGTAACCTTTTCTTCCCTTTGTTTAATCTCACAAGGCAATGCACTTATTGGCTCAKTGAAATACTTTGATTTTGAGCTAAGTTTTGTGGAGCCATCATGTTATTTTATAAAGTAGACATTGTACACATCTGTGTACAGAAGCTGCTCCAACTCTATACTTGCTTAGGAAAAATATTTCTACTTACCAAAGACAGAGATGATAATGTTAAAACTTAGAAGCACTAAGATATTTAATAATTTAGCTCTAATGCTTGATGTGGGTCAGAACATATTCCTAACTAAACCAAACAGGGTTCCTGCAGATCCTTAAAAAGCCTTAAAATTCATTGAATTCATCAATCCAAAAATAAGGCCTTAATTAGCCTWAAAATGTCTTAAATCAATTTTTCAGAAGTCTTAAAAATGTTAACACATTGTAAGTAGGATGATTGTAATTCATCTCAAATATTAAAATAATTGGTAACATTTGTTTTTTAAATATTCACATTCAGACATTCCTCTTTGACATCACTTCCTGTTATTTCACATGCAAATATCTCAACAACTATTCATCTGAGCAATGTGAAATTTGTTTTCTAATATGTTAATAATGTTGTTATTCCAAAAATGCATTCACGTTTCTTACAAAAACCTGATGTCACAGACACTTTAAGGTTTCATCTACAGCAAATTGGGGTTAAGACCCCACTGTGGGTCCTAAAACTCCAAATTTTTGGTTGTTCGAGGATTTCCAGAAATTAATTTAAGTTTAAAACTGACTGCTAAGAACGTTTCTGCTATACTGTAGTTGAATATGGATAAAAACAATTGGTCTGTTAGCAATATTTGAATACTTCAACCAAAAGTACTTTGATTCATGAGTTTCTGCCACAGTGTTTATTTGTATGTATGTCATTTGTGTTTATTATGAAATTGGTCTTAAATTTAATTTCATTTGGCATTAAAAAGTCTTAAATTTAATTTGGCTTAAACTGCAGGAACCCTGCCACAGCTGGTCCTGAGCTCACTATTAATGTAGTTTTAAAGTAGATTATAGTTATTAATTTTTCTTCTTGCTCTAATATTTAATATCTGATCAGTTAAATATTCTAAAAAAAAAACAAGAAGTTTTACCGCTCTCACTGGTATTCATGTTGACACTTATTGTCTACACAGAAACTGTGCTTTCTACAGATCATCTTGTATTTTTCTTTTTAAATGGCATTATTTTATTGTCTGACCAGTTTATTGGCCAACCTCTAATAAAGAACGGGCAGTGATTTTTGATTATTTGAACAGTTATTAAAAATATGAATTTGAAGAATTAATCGTACAGTTGTTTTAATAAGCGTCTCCCCGCCCCTCTAACCTACACCTGAAAGTAGCGCAGTGCTAACACAAACACAACCTCGTGGTAATGCACCAAGTTGTACCCGAGTTATTGTTCTGTACACCGACAGGTTTTTAAACAAAAATATGAAGCAGACGTTAGTCCTAAATCATGAAGCGTTTGCTTAAATAAATAATCTTTCTAATAATCTAATTTAAATAATCTTTAAATGTGAATAAATTAATGTTCATACCAATATTGCTCTGCTCTCATGAGTGTATAAATATTTAGATTTGTTAAACTTGCTGCCTTTTTTTTTTCTCTCACACAGATTGTTGTGCTGACATTTGTGCCAAGTAAAACACAGACTAAACGTGGTTTGAACGGGCTGAATAGTTGTAACTCAGTATATGTGTGTGGAGTCGGGGGTGTCCAAATTTGAAGAATTATCAAATACTGACCAGTAAATTCAAAGAGCACCTTTCAAATGTCCATCCCTAACCTTCATACATCAGGTTTAAAGACATTTTGGATTTTATAAATGTTTTGAAGCTTGAAGCTTGAGTCCTCTCATGAGAAACTAGTTTTTCCTAAACATTTAAAGCGCCTTTTAAAAAAAGTCAGCATTTTCATGTTAAACCTTTATTTCTCAAGCTTATAAAAATATATTTATTTGAGTCCACAGATGTAGAAATAATGAAATCTGCATCAATGTGATATCACAGTGCCCTCTGTTGAGTTGTTTTGGAAATGAGGTTTATAAAGGGAATTAATTATTCCACTTCTCCTCACCACTTCTGTTTTATCTTTTGAGTAAATATCTATTTTWATTCACTTTGTCTTTTCTCTTTCTGCTCTCTGCAGATGTTTAAAATGATCCCCCAGCAGAGAAAAGCTATCGCCAAGTTTTCCAATCCCCAACATGCTGCAAGTTTCCAAATGAGCTTCAACAGGTATTCAATATTCTTTTATGTTTTGTGTTTGTAGAAGTGACAGTAAAATTATTACCGAGCTTTACTTTTTTGGCTGTATAGATAATGCTGTAAAGAGATAAAAATCAGAGTGACTGGGTGATAATGATGATGATTGCCACACAGGCACATGATCGATTTGTCCCACATTGACGTGTCACTGATCGATGAGTGAGGAGCACAACAAAGCCACTCCTCACCTGGGACAACTCGTATAGAGCATCACCAGGGGGGTAGGAAAATCTCTTCAGCTCCTTGGGGTCATTCATCGTCTCTGCACGAAGTTCGACATTCATCCCCTTCCTGTTTGGACAAATAAACACAAAGACATAATTAGCTGCAAGCATGCATGCATTTCACTTTGCCTGCTAAGTGACTGTGGGTTTAAAGTGACTTTGAAAAGACACTGAATGGTAAACCTTTTTTTTATGTTTGTAAAAAAATTCTTCCCCACCCCCATCTTAAACAAATCCTTTAAGTAGAGCTTATCATGGGATAATGGTTGCTGACCTCTTCAGAGTTATTTTTAATGAATATAAAGGAAACTTACTCAGATTTGGCCACTTGACAGTAATTTTAAGTTTATTCGAGATTTAGTATTTTGATGCAGGGATTTGTGGAAGAATATGGTCCTTGAGCCCAAATGTTGGCTTTTGTTGCCCATTTTCCTCCTTTCCTGTAGATGGTAGTGTTTTATCATTACTGGTGCTTTGTTCTTTTCCGTTTTCACCAGTCGTTGTTTTGATTAGTGGCACCACCTAGTGGACATGTTGTGTACACAGTTTTGCGGTGAGGATTCAACATTTAATCCAGCAGTGACTGAAGCTAGACTGGCAAAGACTTCACTTCCATTTTTCTAAATTTTCAGTAGTTTTGTCTGTTTGTAAAGATTGTCTTTGTTTCTGGTGCTACTCGGTGTTAAAACTGTTCTCTGGATTGAAAGTTAAAATCATTTCTTTGGTCTCTTCTGTTCGCTGAGTATTACTAGGTTGTTTTATTTAACTGTTGCATGGATTGTGTTTGGAATAAATTTATCTATTCTAGTTTAATGTTTGATTAAGGAGTAGTTAGATTTAGGTTTCTGTTCTTACGTGGGTTTATGTTTGATAAAGAGCAGCCTTCCTCATTGTTGCAAAGTGTTGCGTTTGTAGTTTTGGAGAGACTCGTCAGTTTTAATTGAGCTAATCTGCATATTATGTTAGGTCCTGCTCACGTTACTTTTTTTGGAGGGGGAGTAAAGGGTTTGGATTAATTGATCCAAAATAAGTTGATGAGAAGGAAATGAAGCTAGAAGTCTTTGTCTTATATTTAAACCTCCTCTTCTACTCTTCTACAGCRCTTAATGCATCACTTTGTATTTCCAAGCATTTTTAGCCCTGTTTAAATAATCCCACTACACTACCAAACCAAAAACTTTAAATCCAGACACCTTTTTTCTATTTTATGTTTTTTTTTTTTGGCTTTCTTAACATTTCCTTATTAAGACATCCTCGTTCTTCATCGTTTTGCATGTCACTTTGCCAGTTTCCCTCCCTCACTTCATTTGGCAGATTTGGTTCAATGKTGGCTTAGAAATGTGTTGAACTAAAATATTCCTAAACCCCGTTAATCCATGTTACGAATTACTGAATTTAAAAAGGAATTTTTCCTGTACGTTTTTTCAAAACCAAAACAAAACGAGGGAGCAACCATTATCCATGTAGCGATCATGCACATACCAGAAAAAAAACTATCCTGTTCTTTTTTTTTATTTTTTATTTTTTTATTTTTTTGTCCTGTTAGTCATGTTGTATCAAGGTAAACATTTTTATATGTAAAGACTGTGCTGATGTCTCAAGTCAGAAATCATTTTACAAGTGGTTTGGACATTTTTGTTTGTTTTTTTTAGAGATAAAACAAAGAGTTGACTGGACCACATTTCTGTTCATAAGACAAAAAAAAACATTTAGGGAAAACAGAGAAAAAAATAAAAACAGTGGCCAATATACCGTAAACATGCTGGTATGTGAAGCCGGTTAAACTTTAGTCTGAAGATGTGTGGTTCTGTGACGTCCATGTGTCTGCTGCCTTTCTGCTGTACGGTCTTATCTCTGTCACATTTTAATCATTTGTATTTCACAGAATCTGTGGATATTCACCTCCCAACTATAAATATATATATATACTTCTGAAAATATTAACGGCATCAGGATTAAACTGTTTTTATAGGTTCAACACGTCTAGAAATGAAACTGCATGAACCTCACTGCTGAAAAGGGAACATTACTGAATTGATCTCTTTAGAGTCGGAATGAGTTGACTTTTTGAGGTGCAGTACTAATAACGATGACATCCTGATGAGCAGCAACTTGAATTAAGAGGTTGTTGCTTTTAGGACTTCACTTGGATATATTTTGCTCCTGAGCAAAAAAAAAAAAAAACAAGAGTTGGGATATTCATTTTTAATAATTGCATTAAGCAGGGGTGCCCAAACGTTTTCCCGCAGAGGACCAAAATGAAAATCTATCCGAAGGCTGTGGGCCAAATTCAATAATAAATACGATCCTTTTGTTTTTTATATTGGCTAGCAGCCGCTGCAGTGGCTCACGTTTTTTTTCTTCTTTTGTTAGGTTTTTTTTTAGCCGTGCATTTGGAGAAAGTTTGATGTACGCTCAGGCAGCAAATGCTCACAGGACATTTCATTAAGTGTTAAATGTTCAAATCTACATGTGTGCTTAAATCTACTGTAGATGTCTCTTGTTACTCGTATTTCATATTTAATCTTAATATAATTCAAAGATAAAGTGAGTGAATAGTCACTAGGCCAGTGGTTGGAATGACTAAGTGGAAGTGCAGTGTTTCTACGTAGGACCTAGTAACATGAGCAACTGCTCGTGGGCCAAATAAAATGGCTTGGTGGGCCAGTTTTRGCCCATGGGCCCCACTTTGGGCACCTCTGCCATAAAAAAATAAACAGTTATATCTGCTCATCTAGATGGTATCTTTTTAAAAAAAGTCGCATTTTTTGCCATTGAAGCAAAAGTGTTGATGTTTACAGGGGCTTTTGTTTATCCTGCATGTGTGAATCTCACAGTTTTATGCTATCTCCTTTTGAAGTATTTACTAGAGATAAATACACAAAGTTTTTACACAAGTTACATGTATGGATTATTACCTCAAACATTCTCAAACTGCTGTCAGTATCAAAGGGTCAGGTCAGGCTTTATTTTTTATTTTTATTTATTAGTTTATTATTTTTGTAACATTTTGTCTGTTGCACTGTCTAAACTGACGCTTATGTTTTCTTCCCTTTTTGAGCTGTCGGAGAGGTTTTTTGTTTACTTTTATCTTGTATTCCCTGTGACATTTTAATTTTATTTTATTTGTGAGTTACACTAGAAGTTTGGTGTTTTGGTAAATTCTATGAATTTATATTTTAAGTATGGGCGATTCTGCTCACAGTGACAATATTATAAGACGTTGGGTCTTGAAATGCAAACAAAGATTCACATTGAATCTGTTGTACTTTAAACTGAAGAATTATTCAGYCATGTAAGCTGTGAATGTTCAGACATAATGGAGTTGTTGTATTAGAAGCGTGTTACTGCAGGCTGTTTAATTAGCAGCCAGCTTTTATATAAAACCACTTTGTTTGGTTACAGTTGATTTTAAAGCAGTTTATACCAATCATTGCTCTGTAATCCAGGGACTGATTCTCAGGGATGTTTATTACATCAGATAGAACTGATTATTAGATCGTTTACACCAACCTGGGGTCAAAGATGCAATATTATTCCATATCTAGACAACACTAACTTCAATGTTGTTTTTGTTTTCTTTTATTTCCCATCAGGTTCATCTGGTGATTTGGGGGTGGAGCTTTTCTGGAATAATAAAACTTTTATTTTCCCAGATCAAAGCCAGTGAACAGAGCAGCAACAAACATTAGTCAGGATCATGTTTAAGTGACCATACCAGGGAGTTTGCATGCAGCTATCATTAATCACCTTTGTGTTATGTTTTTACGTGGATTTATTTGGTTTTATGCAATTAACGAGCACCTGAAATCCATGTGAAAGTAGTGAAAGTTGAGGCAGCTGCTGGTTMATATGTTTGCTTAATCTTATCTCAAACCTGGAGATAATCGTGTTTATTGGAGCTTAAACCCTTCAAATGTCAGCACAAATCTGGAAAACTAGAGCCATAAGTTCAATTCTTAGTTAAGGTGGCACTTCTTAAAATTTATTTTTGTATGTGTGTGCTGCAAACAGAAAATAAATATTGACTCACCTGTGGTTAGAGCAGAAAATAAAAAGTGATATTCCAGAACAGCAGGGAGCGTGCAGAACCACTGGTATGGTCCAAATCTCGTGTTGCTGCTGATGTAGTTTTGATATTTTAGATTTTTAGCTGCACAGATATTTTACTCTTGAAATGTTTTGGATTAACTCATGCATTTGTGTTTTCCAGCAGATTACTGAGGATGGGAGATGTTGTTACCAAAGCTGCTTTTTTTAACCCACATTTTTAACCTTTTTTATTTCTGCTCTTCAGGCCTGGAATCGAGCTTTGACTTCTAACTTTTCTCCCGTAGCAGCTCTCCATGCCCCCGGCGTGGCGGCTCTCCTTAACTTACCGTACACAAGTTTGACTGTTTCCCATCTTTTCCTCAATGCTGTTGTTGAATGAGCTGCAGCAGGGCGGCCGGCCCGCCGGGCCCACCGTTGTTTGTTAGCCCGGTGGATGGAGGTTTCCWCCTCTGTGACGACATCCGGCTTCACAGGGCACATCGTAGCTCTAAAGCCAAACGCTCTAAGGCTTTTTTTTTTTTTTCTGCACCGAAGCTCCTCCCAGCTTCTTCATTGTTGGGTCGAGTCGTTGATAAGACTGTGGACTGCCTTATCAAACTGTGTGTCGCTCCAAATAATGACTAAAACCTGTTGACGGAAAATGTTTCCACTCATCGCCGATGTATGAGATCTGAAGCTGTTTGTTGCTTTGTGATGAAACTATTGTGCAATTTGTTCAGATGCTGTAAATTGTTGAATGATTCTACACATTTTTACTTTGATGTAAAAATATTATTTTTTAATGAACTTGAATCCTGTGGATTGTTGAAAAAAACTAGAATAATAAAAAAATTGATGCACAACAAACCTGTGTTATTGTCTAATTCAAATGTTTTAATCAAAACTTTTGTATTGGAAATGTTTTTTTCTCAGTTCATTGGATGGATTAAAATGATAAAATAATTTTTCATAGGTATAGGTTTATATTTCTTGTGAACATTTTACATTATGTAATTCAACAAAAACAATTAGAATCATTTTTATGAGGATGCAAGTAAAATTAATAGTAATTTGATCAAAATGACAATATTTGCAGCCCCCCCACACACACAAGCTGTAGGTCCATGCTCACCATTGCACTGTGTCTAACATAGAGCAACGTCGATATGGGACTTCCTAATTTATAGCCTCATAATTCAATAACACCAAAGAAGGCAGATTCTTGAAACTTGTAGAGGTTGAATGCTCCACCAAGGAGGAACAGGATGTTTCAGGACAGAACAAGCCACAACGTTTGGAGATCCTCCTCACTCTCTGTCTCTTAGAAGCTCAGAGTTTTGTTTTCCAGAAAAGCCAGACTGGTTCATGTTTGCAGATGTCAACATTTGTAAAAGCTGCAGTTGAGCTCCAGCAGACTGAGGGCCCCCGGAGGGATTAGAGGAGGCTCTGTTTACCTGCTCTGAGGAATGCTGCCCTGTTCGGACGCTTTTGTATCTGACAGAGACCCAAGGTCACCGCGCTGGGAGAGATGGGCTGCTTTGTCCCACCCTGGAGTTTCCACCTCGTAGTATCAACAGCACGACACAATGTGGGAGACGAAAATGGAATTCCTGCTCATGTTGCAACAGTGCTCAGAAACTCAGCTCCATTGGGCCTTTTTCACTTTGAWAAGTCAGAGTGACGGACGAGTTTGTATCAGTTTGTCTAATGGTAAAACTTTCTGCTAAGACTTTCTTCTGTTTTAAAGTGGTCTTGATCAGCATATCTCCAGGCTTTCTGCAGGTCTTTTAAAGCCCCCCACCCCATTTTTTTTGCATAAATAGTGCAAGTGTGTACCTTAAAAAGGGGAAAGTGGAGGACAAAAGCAGTGCAACTTCAGCAGCAGAACAATATCTGTAAGTTGTGTATTCAGTAAACAATTTAACAAAGACAATTAAATTTAAAAGCTAAAATGAGAACAAACTGTTCCTGTGACAGTCTAGTACTTTGGCTAGTTAGTAGCTGCGACTGTTTTTGTTAGGTGTCGACAAAACGGATTTGGGAGCCTGAATAATTCATAGGTCAGGGTTAGGAGGCTTAACAAAGTAAACAAAAAATTATCTGAAAATGCTCGGGTATAAGAGCCAAAAAAAGAAAAACGTTTTAAAATGCCTCCAAAAAGTTGCTCAAGAGGTCATAAAAATCTGTTTTTTCTTAAGCAAAATGGRAAAAAAAAAAAGTGTTGACTATTTGATCCTGGTCCTTCATGCATTACAGGTTTCTCTGCTCCAGTACACCTGATTTGAATATTTAGGTAATGAACAGGCTTCTGCAGAACCTGAAGAGGTAATTCAGTCGCTTAATCAGGTTGTTTTGGAGCAGGAAAACAAGATAACAGCCCCACCAGAATAGACCAAMCCTTATTTTAAAGCATTTTCAGGGTGCAGTACCACCTCTCTGCCACACGATGTCGCCATTGCGCCGCGCGAGAACCCTAAAACCCGCAGGAGGAACCCCCCCAGTGTTGGAAGTTTCAGAAAGATGCGCTCGAGCTCACCGTTTTAAAAAAAACTTCAAACCAGATAGTAAAAACAAACTATACGGTTGTATGAAAATACCGGAGGATTATGGAGATTTGCTCAGACTAACAGGACTGTGATTTGGACCGCAGTGTGTGTGAGTGTGTGTGTGTGTGTGTGAGTGTGTGTGTGTCCCAGACACCGGGGGACGCAGACAAACACGCTCCTGTTTAATTTGTCTGCGTGTCGGATGGTATTTGCGGAGGGCAGAGCTCGTTAAATTTGACACAAGCTCTCAACATTTCACAAGCACGCAAAAGGCAGTTCAAAGCGCCATATTCTGCATTTTCTATTCGCCAAATAGGCTGCAGACAAAAAAAAATGTTTGCTCCCAGCATGCCGAACCAACACAATTATCATGTTAATTAAAAAGCTGTTTTATGTTAATTATTCTCACCCAGGTGGTCTCTCCCTAAATTTACTAAAACTAAAAGCGGAGTAAAAATACAAATTAAGTTGGTTATCATRCCCCTTTGTAATGTGCTCATTTGTAGGTCTGTTAACAAAATATCTCATGAACCAGCGCACGGATTTTAATGAGACTCCCTGGAAGTCATCATTAAATGTACATCTACAAATCATTAACCCCATTCA